AATTAACATCCGTACAGTAAGATTGATTGGACAATTTTTTCGTATGTAATCTGATGACCTTATTCGACCAAAAGTTTTTTTTTCCGATGACCTTATGGCAATGCAGGGAATAAAGTATAAACGTACTTGTTTCGTGAAGGCATTTGTTGCCCCTAAATTAATGATGTTGTTTAATGGAGATCTGCTTTGCATCAAAATCCACAAATTATAATGAAAGTACAACTTAGTTGTGCTTTGTTGTCCTCACCGCAGCAACAGGGTGGCCCAAATAATCTTATCTTGTCCATTAATCTTATGAATTGCACGCAAAATCAGAAGGTTACCAACTTAATCTTTTGGTTTAATCTATATAGTCACGAGGACCTCGAAGAGCAAGTCATGAGCATATACCCAAAAACCACAATTTTTCGTACCCCTAGAAATAGAACTTTAACTTTTCCAAACTCGTTTATCTTTTATCTTGTCCATCTTAGTTAGGTAACAAAAAATACGTAAAAAGTATGTCCCGAACTTTATAAAAAAAATTTATCTCTGGTGATCGAGAATGCTAAATATTACATCATGCCCGATGACACGTAAATCGTTTATTATCCTTTGTAATCATCGGACATCATCTCATTTAAAAGATATTTAAGTAAACTGAAAATAATTAGTCAACAATTTAACACCAATTTCCGTATTTACGGGAAAAAAAACAAAAACAAGCATAAACTAATCCAAACACTACATAAGAGTATAGAATACAAGCATAAACATGGTATTTTTATACTTCATAACATGCCATTAGAGAGAAACCATAAATATCGACACATCCACAGTGCCATTTATATTATCTTAATTAGAATTTATAAAGACAACTTGTAGTTTGAAATGAACGAAAATGTCCTAAATTAGGGGAATTCATGTATGTTCTTTTGATTTAAACCAACGTGATATTAAGGTCTATTTCCGCCACCCAATATGTCAGTTTAGTGGTAAAGAGATCAAGTTATCTTCCAACTTTGAGTCATTCGTGAGCGAACCTCCGATCAACATGTGTGGTAGACATTTGCTCTCCTATTGAAAGACTTTCTAATTTCTGGTATGACTGTAGACATTTGCCATCTCCTATTGAAAGACTTTTTGATTTTTGGCACGTCGGCACGATTGTGGTGATGGGTTTGTACAAAATCTGGTGAACTGAGTAGTTATGATTCAAACAGAATGTTCTCTAGAGAATATAGTACCCTTAGTGAGATTTTATGGGACTACTGTCAACTGTTCAAAAAATTTAGTTTTTAGATGAAGGCCTGATCTAATAATATAATATTCTAACACCCTTATCATGATATTCAAAGGAAGTAGTTACGTTGGTCACCCTCCCAACTCGTAAGAAGAAAAGTCTATTTGCTTCGGCTACCTGCCACGACACTTTTTTCTTCTAATAAATGAGTTTGTTTATTCATAGAAGACAACTTCACGAGTGTACTTTAGAAATCTTCCATGAGAGCAATGAGAGGACAGCTTGATCACACACCGATTTTAATGATGTTGATGACATGTTTGAATTCCCCAAGCCAAAACTAGTAAGTGGAAAGACAAACTCAAGGCAAGTCCACAAGTTTACTTTCATCTCTAGAAAATCTAAAAACTGCGAGGATTCTTCCAGGTCGATTCCGCATAGCTGTCTGGCGAAAATCGAATGGTGGCCTTGGACATCAAGATAATCTTACTTTAAATAATTGGAGAGCGATCATGGGTATGCAATTCATACTCGAGCACAAAGTGTGCAAATATGGTTTGGACGGAAGGATGAAACTACGAATCTGAGTGTGAGGATAAGTAATTTGGATCGGCATTGAATTTATATTGAATTGAAATACATAAAATTGAAAATATATGAAACGAAATACATGGAATTCAAAGTGCAATAGGGGTTTGGAAATATGTAAGTGGGGAGGCTGATAGGGTTTTCAAAAGATTTGAATTCGAGAGCTTCTGTTCCGATATCACATGAACCATCACTAACCATTCTAAAACCTCAAGCTGATAGGTGGAGGGAGACTGAAGAATTGGACAAGATACTCTAAACTGTTATTTATTACATGTATTTAAAGTAAAAGGTAGCTAATGGTTTATAGAAAGACATTAGCTAGATTATTTGCAATGCAATAACTTTCCCGAGCTACAGCCTCTATACATGGAAAGATAAAATCCTCTATACAAAGAAAGTTAAAATGAATTTGTAAACTTTGAAAACTCTTGCTACACTTGCCAAGAGTACAAATATTTCTTGACTGGTCTTTATCTGATTGAGTTGAGAGATATTTTCTCCAATAGAGACTACAAGAATATAAATAGCGTATAGGACCGTTGTCAAACGATGTAGGACAACATTTGAACACTCCTTTCACATGAAAATCGGATTAGGAGCAACACGAAGAATTTGACTGATGGGAGGTGGACGCACATACGAAAAAAGGATAGTACTGATTCTGATATCAACTTTCGGTAGAGTAGGTGGACGCGTGTGTGACCAAGTCTGATGCAAACTCTTCTTTTTATATTCTTCCATTATGCTCAGAATGCTCCACTTTAGTTGGAGAGCCCATGGTCATCCCTTGACTACATAAGTTCTTTCCTGGAATTTGTTCAAGCCACACACCTTCGACCAGAAAAATTATAGCTGGCATTTGTGGGTGGCAACGAAAACGATGGATATGCAATAACCCTTTTTCTTTTTGAAAACCTAATTTGACTGAAAAAAAAATGACGAGGGTCAAGGAATAATCCAGTCTGTAGAATATCCACAGAACAAAACAAAAGAAAGCCGATGGGGCTATTGGATGAAAGGAAATGCCGTATTTCGCTGCCTAGCATTTTCATGGGGGCTACAGCGACGGTCTCCCTAATCTCAACCCTTCAAGTCGTCATTGGTGTACAGTAGTTATGACTTAAACCAAACATTATGTAGCCTGTGTGGGCCACTCCTCCCCACCTTTTACCGTTTAGAAAGAAAGGATTAAGATGAAATGTTAAGGATACTAAAAACTACCTTAGAAGGATTTATTTATCAAAATATTTCTCAATATTTGAAGTCAATTACATCTTGCTAGCTACGAAAATCAACTTAACACGCATGGAAGTCAAAAGGGTTTGCGTTCACATGCTTAAACATCTAAGGTGAGCCGTGTCAAATTGACTCGATGCGTAGATTTTGTTAGTATCTTTTTCCGTATTCCCACCATATTCATTTCGAATAATCCAATGCAGGAGATTATGTTCTTGATGACATCTCGATGGCTAGCTAGCTAGTCTCGCTTTAGGGTTAAATTTTCTATACCGTCCTACACCAATCTTAATAACCATCAACTTGAATACAGATGGCATGGACCGCCCACCAAAAAACCAAAAATAAGGTTGAATACTGTGACTGACAAATGAAGTCACCTTAATCTAGTAAATTAATTGGACAGTATAACTTCTCATTGCCAGGTCTAATTAATAACGCGAATCCATGCACAAAGTAGAAGTGGATGGGCCAATGAGACATGGTCACGACGATTTAGGTAGCTTCGTGATCGGTGAATTTCTTCTTCTTTTTTTCTGTAAAAAACAAGCAACTAATCGTATTAATAAATAAAATAAGGAATTGAATTAGATATCGAATTTGCATGATTTGATCAGCACGTTCTAATCCGGAAGAACAATCAAACAATAGTTTAAGCAGATTATAATAACATTCAAGTCACTCTAATACTCTTGGTGTTTTACAGTCTCGATTACACCAAGTGCTTAGTCCTTAATATTACCCATGGAATCATCACTCAATTTCACAAATAAGTACACAAATCTAAACGCAAAGATTAGGTTACCGCTCCAAAATATTCTTGGTTTTTCACCGGATATTTCATAAGCATACCGCACAATTAATTGTCACGAGCAAAAGCTTCTTTGCTCACTGACTGACGAGCAAAAGCCAACAAAATCCACGCACATCTAAGTCACCTTGTCCACGTTTAGATTAAAGAAATGCCATGAATCGAGCAATAAAAGTTCAATAAAATAAAAAGAAGTGAGACCCCCAAGTCGTCGAGTATAAATAGAATAATTGAATAAAAAGTAGAAAATAGACAGCTGGAGGTTCCATCTTCATCTAGGAGCAAGTGGCTGATTATTGAACAGATTATGCGCGATCCGGGATCTCTCGATTCCCACAAATCATGTGTCCTGGAACTTTCGACATTCACTGTATTGCTTCGAAAAATCCTGCATCTAAAGAGCTATATCTGTTATTTGTCGAGATTTACAAAAATGGGAAAATACAGAGGTGCATACTTAGATCAACATACCTTGACATTGTTGATTTCTTTTTTTCATTCAGTGGGTTTCTTGGAATGCTTGTTTTCATCGAATATCGCGCTATTTCGGAATGTAATTTTACTATTTTCAATTAGCTTTGTTGGTGCTCAAATCATATTTACTGACGACGTACCCTCAAAAAAACTAATGACAGATTCGATAAAAGGTTAGCGGGGATTGACAATACATGTTTCGTGTGATTTTTGTTACACATATACGAAGTCATGTGAAATTTCATATAAAATTTCTATATCTTGCCCTCGTGAATTAGGGTTTCGAATCTCGCCCGCCACTCCCCCGCCCCCCCGCTTTGAAACTGTGTTTCTACGTCCCGTCACGGTGAAATACAATGACACCTGCCATGGAAGCATAGCTTTAGCCGTGTTTCCTTTGGAAGCATAGAAGAAGGACTTTGGTCAAAGCACATCCCTTGGTTTCTTTCAATAAAAACAAAACTAGATATGGCCTCAAAGCTTAATTTAATGGGAGAAGTTCGATTGTTGAAAGGACCAGGGGAGTGCATTAGATGCAGAGTTCAGGGACACCCTCCGAGGAACTTGCCTTCTTGCCTTGCCTATAAAAACCCTCAGCTCATCCCTCTCGAGCAACCCACCATCTTTGCTCGCTCTCTCTCTCTCTCTCTCTCTCTCTCTCTCTCTCTCTCTCTCTCTCTCTCTAGACACAATGCCTGCCCAAGTGATGTCTGAGAAGCCTCTTCAAGGACTTCATTTCTCGGAAAGAGAAAGCCACAGCAATGCCGCTAATTACCTCCGGAGGTAAGATCATTCTCCCTCTTAACTATAGTCCTAGTCTGTTGCTTTTATATTGACATTCATCATCTGAATCAACTCCCTCATTCCCATTTCATATGCACAGGTTGGAGGGAAAAGTAGCCATCGTCACAGGCGGCGCCAAAGGAATAGGAGAGGCCGCCGTACGGCTTTTTGCTAGACACGGCGCAAAGGTCATTGTCGCGGATGTTGAAGATGTCCTTGGAGAAGCTCTCGCGAGTTCGCTGGCCCCTAATTATTGTGTCACCTACGTTCACTGCGACGTGAGCTCGGAACCCGACGTGGAGAACATGATAAGTTCGACGCTCTCCCGCTACGGCCACCTCGACATCCTCTTCAACAATGCTGGGGTCCTAGGGAGCCAATCGGGTAAGAGCAAGAGCATACTGAACTTTAACGCCGAGGAGTTCGACCACGTGATGAGAGTGAACGTCCGGGGCACGGCGCTGGGGATGAAGCATGCGGCCCGGGCCATGATACCGCGGGGGAGCGGGTGCATCATCTCGATGGCCAGCGTGGCCGGGGTCCTCGGGGGCCTGGGCCCGCACGCCTACACGGCGTCGAAGCACGCCATCGTGGGGCTCACGAAGAATGCGGCGTGCGAGCTGGGCCGGTACGGGATCCGGGTCAACTGCATCTCGCCTTTCGGGGTGGCAACGTCGATGCTAGTCAACGCATGGAGCGGCGGTGGCGGCAGCGACCAGGAAGGGGAGGGAGCAGATGAATGTATGAGTTTCGGGGTACCGTGCGAGCAAGAAGTTGAGAAGATGGAGGAGTTTGTGAGGAGTCTTGCCAATCTGAGGGGACCAACGCTTAGGGCTAAGGACATTGCCGAGGCCGCTTTGTATCTTGCTAGCGACGAGTCCAAGTATGTCAGTGGCCACAACTTGGTTGTTGATGGGGGTGTCACCACTTCAAGAAACTGTGTTGGTTTGTAGGATTTTCTTTTCCAACTTTTCGCCTTTTTTTTTCTTTTTTGTTAATTGCCTTTTGTAATGGAACTTCAATTGTAAAATTCTAATGGTGTCTTTGCTCTTCTCGAGCATCAACATATCTAATGATGTAGTACGTGACATCGCACCTTCAATTAACTTTTTTCTTTAGGGTTGCAAATTCAAAAGTTATAATCAGTCCAAAATGGTTTACTCTCCATACCAACGTAGAAAGCAGATTGCAGATGCAGACAAGGGACATTGCTTGCTTGCTTGCTGAAAAGTCAAAGAGCTAGCCTCACATTGTCGAAGGCCTCCACATGACTAGGAGGGAATTAATTTCTTTACTCAGATAAATTGAACTTAAGAAATTACTGAAATAATGATTTCAAGTACCAAAATCTCCTACCTTTCCGCGTATTTCGTGCGCTTTTACATCGTCGAAGTCCTCCATATATCCGGGAGGGAATTAGATCTTTGTTAGTTATAAGTAGATGTTTAACAAGACTAGTTAAAATATTACTATCAAGTACCAAAAATCTCCAACCGCTCCGCGTATTTCGGGCTTGTCAAACCTGTGAATCTCACTAACCATTGGAACAGAACACCAGCTCATGGTAATATTAATTGTCTTTTGGGGTTTTGCATGAACGCGAGCTGGAGCCAGAGTTTTGGAGCTCTAGGTCCATAGTTTATCGTCGACATGTGACCTTTCTCCAAAAGATGTCTTTATTTTAGAAAGAAAACGCTACCTCATCAATGACATGGTTGTCGACTTGTCGACTCGGCCACTGTTGATGTCCCAGTTATAATGTCTGGCCAAAGGACTTAAGTCATTAAGTGGAGGAAGATTATATGGATACAAAGTACGTTGTAATCACTGTTTAGATGATGCGTCATTATATTCGACACGCTGCGAATAATAAGCTCACCCTTGACATGCGCATGGGTTGGCGCGGTTGTTGCGAAACGGGCACGGTTCCTATCATGAGCTAGCCGTAAAGAATCCATCACGAGCGACAAGCTCGAGGGCTGTCGGAATTAAATAAGCTAGGTCTCACCATGATTGGAAGGGGTGCTGGCCAACTGTTAGCCTCTCCCCAATCTCGATACATACTTTTAATTCCAACTAGTGTGTTTTCTTTAGTATATCTCTAGGGATGTGCATTGTCTCGACGATATTAGAGCAACCATGAAATGCTAGTGGGAACATATTTAATCCCCCTCTGTTGGGTGTGGAAACTCCATTAAGATGGGCTTGTGGTCGGCTCTTCCCATCAAGCAAGAGCCGCCCCCAATCTCCCATCAAATCGACCATTTTAAGCTCGATCCACACAAAAGAAAGACGAGAGAGTTCTTGGAAAATAATTTTCTAAATACGATCGCTTGTATCACTTACAAAAATGAATGAACGAAAGATATTATCGTTGTTCTCAAAAATATTTATATATAATTTGTTGTCGGTGATGAAAACATTTTTCATCGACTAGTTATTTTAAGCGATACAAGCGATCATTTTAGGAAAATGTTTTCCAGATCATTGATTTTTCGCGAAACAAACGGAGCCTGAGTACTTGTCTTTTTCTCTCCCACTCACTCTACCGTATTAGATTATGTTAATTGCAGCTGGAATCATATCGGTTATAACTATACCTATACATTATATATAGCAATATCACATAAGCTACTTATAAAACCAAGTAGTGTAATGGATACTGCATATTTTAAACCATATAGTCTAATAGCTATTACAGCTTTATTACATTTTAACGTAATTACATTATAGCCATATTCCATTATTGAAATTAAACGGGCTATCGATGTTAAGAGAGTGATCTACGTAGAATTGATTAATGGTGTTTAAACTTCAAGGAATGTACGATGTTCTAGCTAAGCCGAATGTTGCTTATTAATGGATGACGAATTGTCACTTGCGGATTTATATCTGATAATTTTATTAAGCTCTGAGGAAATTTTGAATTTCGAAATCGCAGACAGTCAGTCCGCCTGATTAAGCTATCGAAGGTTAGTAACTGAAGGTCATTTTTCAAAGTCCTGCTAAAGACGTGCAAAAGAATCACGGCCACCTGCAAAGGAAATGCCTTAATTAAACCGGTTCATGGGGTTTGTAGGGTGTTTCATGAGCTTACATGATCTATGCGCTCATGGGATATCAAAAACTAGAAAACAAAATAGAATTTGGAAGAAGAAAAATCTTTTGGTGCTGAAGGGTGCCCGGAGAGCTGTCCTTTAAGAGTGCTTCAAAAGGACTGGGCATTTGTCCACTTTGGTCCAATCTCAGCGGGCCATAGCATTGCTCCTGGGCTTACTTGAATGTCGTGGACAGATATAACTCATAGGAGAGGCTTCGCAGTTGGAAATTATCGGTGCATCCTGTGACCAATTCATTCACGAGAATGTTCAATGACAGGAGAGTGATCCTCGTGAATTAGGTAAGATACTCTGCAGTAGTTTCGAGTCGGTGATCTTGGCGATGAACATTTGACGAAAGCGCGGAAGTAAGGCACGCCATCAATTGGAAGCTTGAAGGAAAATCTGCAATGTCATTGGTAATGCTAATTTGCAGTGGTTACTTTTCAAGATTTGCAACAACTAGAAACATCACAGTTCAACAAGGGAGTGTGGAGATTTGTAAAAGAGCAGAGTGCAGGTATTGGGTGCGATATGCAAAAGGGTCGCTTCTGATCTCCAAGAAAATTAAGTTTTATCGACTGATAAGAGTTGAGCAGTAAATGATCAGACAAACCAAGAAGACTAGCCAAAGCAGGGGAAAACAAGGCAGATAAATCAGTAGAAATTGATCACACAACTGTCCAGTGAAGTTCCCGCTTCAAATATTATCGCAGTTTGACGAGGGCGGTTCAAAGATCAAATGGTGTAATACAGACATTGAAGCATCGTGTGTTAACATCCATACGCCGTGATAGAAAGATAATGGATACAAAATCACTCTCGAAGAATGAAGTATGCGAAAGACATATGGAATAGAAGGGACTTTCTTTTAGAAAGTAGACTTTAAGCAGTGCCAGTCGACGTGGCGCCTTGTGAGTGGTTGGGGACCACGCTGACGAGGCGGTCCGAGACCACTTAATATTTTCTCCTTTCTAGAAAGTAGACTTTAAGCAGTGCCAGCTTCTTCACTCCATGCCTGTATGCCTAAAATTTACTACATGCCTCCCCTTTCCATTGATGAAGTTGAAGGCGGCTTCATTGGCTTGGTTTCTTCTACTAGCTCGGCAAATTGCATTTGCAAATTACACACGTCATTTCCAAATTACAGGATACGTATTTTGGACAAAAATGCCATTGATCAGCCCGAAAATTTGGCCGACTAGCAATGTTAGACTCTTCTTTAAAACCGATATGGTCACTTCATACCCTTATTTGAAGTAATATCTACTTTATGCCATTTTTTAAGAAAATGATGGCACTTCAAACTTGTTTCCCTTATATTTTTGCCATTTTTATTTCAAAATAATGGTGGTTAATAGCTTGATATATTGCCTGCACTATGCAAATTATGTTTAAAAACTGACATGAGATATTTGTAGATATTTCGCATGTCCTACTTGTATTATTATTTTTTGGTGATGTAATCGGGGCTTTTATTAGAATTTTGTGCAAAACTTAAGGATTAAATTGTCAAAATTGAAAACTTTAAGACTATAATTGACATTCATATAATAGATTTAAAATTCTTTTTGTTGGACATAATAGATTTAAGATTGATCGCATAAGGTCATCATATAACATACGAAAAAATTGCCCATTAGCATAGGCAATAAAGTACAAATGTACTTTGACCAAAAAAAAAAGTACAAATGTACTTTGTTGCCCTTACTGATGTGATTTAATGGAGATCTGCTTTGCATCAAAATCCACAAGTAATAATTAAAGTACTGCTTCATTGTACTTTGTTGTCCTCACTGCGGCAACAGAGTGGCCAAATAATCTCATCTTGTCCAAAATTAATTTATCTTATAATTTGCACAGAAGATTACCAGCTTAATCTTGTGGTTTATCTTATATAGTCACGAGGATCTTGAAGAGGAAGTCATGAGCATACACGGTATACGCTCGTGACATGCTATTCAACTTGCTCTTCAAAAATCACAAATTGTCTTACCCCATAGAAATATTCCTCCTCAAACTTTAATTTTTCCAAACTCGTTTGTCTTTTTATCTTGCTTGTCTTAATTATCTAACGGAAGTATGTACCGAATTTTATAAAAAAATTTTACCTCTGGTGATCGAGAATGCCAAATATTATATCATGGCCAATGATATGTATAACGTATATACCCATCGAAATCATTGGACATAATCTCATTTAAAAGCTATTTAAGTAAACTAAAAATAACTCGGCACCAATTCAACTCCAATTTCTGTATTTACGTGAAAAAAAAACAAAAACAATCATAAACTAATCCAAGCGCTACATAAGAGTATAGAATACATGTTATTCATGGTATTTTATACTTCTTTTTTTTATGGGCCGCGCTTTTTTCACTCGTTTGGCTAAAGCACTCCTCAATGTAGTATTTGGATGATTTTACCTTTCATGAGTCCCATCTTTACTATGTTTTCCCATCCCCATTGTGGTTTTCTTCTCTTCTTTTCTTGTGGGCCCACTTTCCTTCATCTTCTTCCCCCTCTCTTTCTCTCTCTTCAGGCAATTATCTTCATTCCTGATACTCTCCTGCGGAGTGCAAGAGTCAAGGTAAAACACCACCTCGAAAAACAGAATAAAACACCATAGCTTGAAGCTCCAATTCAATTACAGACAAGTTTCTTCACCATATTCAAGTAAGAAACTAGAAAACAATCCAGGTTAAAACACCACATCGAAAAAACAGAACGAAATAGAGATACAAAAATTTCTCTTCCTTAGTAAAGGGAATTAGCAAGAGAGGTCAAAAGAAGTTCTTTGAACTTAAGTCGGTCTTCAAGAATGGGAAAATGAAGGTTGTAGCATAATACTTTAACTCCTTGTCAGGGAACTTGGCAAATATAAATAACTTAAGGGCAACAAACAATTAGATCAAGATGTAAAGAAATTGTACTCCTTAACCCTCACCATGTCCACATGGACTATGCTTTAACCGTCACCACTCGCACCGTCAGTGGCGGCAAATTCAGAGTCATGTGGAGGTCCCGAGCTTCGATCAATGTCACTTACAGGTACCATAGCTTTGGAGATTGTTAGACCTTAAAGGGCGTGTGAACCACGTATAGTGCGTCCGAGCTCCATGCCTTGGGTGACCATCAAGACGGAGATTTGGATGTTGCCGAAGATGCGGGTCTTCTCTGCTGTGTTGCCACCCTCAAGGCAGTACCATAGTGGATCAAGCGAATTGTCCAGCGGATCGCGGACAGGCATGTCGGAGAGGCCGACGCAAACGCCGCCCAAGAAGATCTCCGACGACGAGTCCTAGATAGAGATCTCCAGCATGGAGCATTGTCGACTCGAGCTTGTTGTGCCCTCACAACTCTGACAATATCACCCTCTGCATCCTCCTCAACTTCACTTGAGAATACCACGTTTCACAAAAAGTGTGAAAAGGAGGATTGCCTGCAAAAGAGAAAAGGAAGAAGATAGAAGGAAATTGGGACCTGCAAGAAAAGAAAGAAAAAAAATTCAATGCACAATAGCTCTCGGATGATGAAAGGTGGGACCCTTGAAGGGTAAAATGGTCAGAACACTGCATTAAGGAGTGTTATAGCTAAAGGAGTTGAAAAGCGCAACCCTTTTTTTGTTTTCAAAGTTATTTTATACTTCATAACATGTCATTAGAGAGAAACCATAAATGTCAACATATCCACAATGCCGTTTATATTATCTTGATTAGAATTTATAAAGACAACTTGTAGTTTGGAATGAATAAAAATGTCCTAGATTAGGAAGATTCATTCATGTTCTTTTAATTTAACCCAACGTGATCTTAAGGTCTATTTCAACCACCTGATGTCTCAGTCTAGTGGTAAAGAGATCAAATCGACCATTGTAAGCTTGATAGACCAAAAAGAAAGAGGAGAGAGTTCTTGAGTTATTGCGGCCAAGGCTATAATAGCTATTTTAAGACCACCCTGTTAAATAACCATGACAGTATAGCTGTAATCGCTATTTTTTAGAGGTGCGTTTGTTTTGCGGAAAATGAATGATTTAAAAAATATTTTTCTAAACATAATTACTTATATCGCTTACAAAAATGAATGAACGAAAGTTATTTTCGTCGTCCCAAAAAATATTTAAACATAAATTGTCATCGATAATAAAAAAAATTTTCATCGACTAATTATTTCAAGCAATACAAGTGATTATTTTTAGGAACATATTTTCCAAATCATAAATTTTCTACAAAATAAACAGAGCCTAAATAATATATAAGTGTGTATTAAACTCATGATTGACAATTAAAGTGACGGTTATTATATTCCTTGTAGTTTTAATTTTAAGGGGTATTTTGGGAATCTTGATAATATTACTCCATTATTACATAAGCTACTTATAAAACCAAGCAGTGTAATGGATATTACATTATTTAAACCAAACAGTCTAATAACTATTACAGTTTTATTACATTATGTTGGAGGCTAATAGCATCACATAGAGGGGGTGAATAGATGATTTGAAAACTTTTGACATATAAAATGCGGAATTAAAAGTGTTAAAGGGTGATCGAGAGAGACAATATGTGAATATTATCGAAGTTGTGATAATATTCTGCAGTGCAATGATCTTCTATCAAATAATAAGTAAATAAGAACAAAGGGATAGAAGATTTTGCACTTAGAGCTTATAGTGGTTTGGCTTGGTGTAAGCCTACGTCTACTTTCTCACGCTGACAGCCTACTAGCTGGATTCTACTAGTAAATCAATAAGAAATTACAGTAGTAGGTGTTTCTTATACTCAAGCACTTCTCCTCAAGGTTGGAACTGCTTATACCCAAGTTGATAGGACTCATTATCTCACACCTAAGCACAAACTATAACACTGCTAACACTTCTCGAAAGATTTATGATTTAATGCTCACTAAAGACAATTAAGAATATGCAAAGCTCTCTTGAACTATCTCTCCTCGTTGTCTTGGTTTTCTTTTATATAATCCTCAGCATCCAAAACTTCCCGTTGGACAATCTTCGTGATGATCAATCTCTAAGCTAGCTGTTAGACAATTGATGAGAAGATGAGGGTAGCCATTGAGGTAGAACAATCAAAGATTCCGTTGATTTGGTCGCCCATACAAACAAATCTTTGTTTTCATAAGCAAAGTTCTTTAATATTGAAAATCAATCAATGCTTTCTATATTGGAAATCCGAGCTAGATCACTAGCTGTGACGATATAGGTAATGGAGTTTGTGTCTGAATATATATATATATATATATATATATATATATATATATATATATATATAGCCATAAGTAGATTTTGTAATATGATGATATTCGGCTTTAGTATAGAATTTGAAGAAATCAAATGCTTTGATGAAATCTGCGTATAAGTTTTGTTCATATTTACGTTGTAGCTCTAATGATATCCATGCAATAATATAGATAATAAACAACACTCTGCTAATATTCAAGATAAACCTTGCTAATTCATAGCGTTTGCCTCGCTAACATTCAAGCGTAAACCTTGCTAATATCCGGAGTTTGTCTTGCTGATATTCAAGCATAAACCTTAATAATATCCACGCAGTAACCAAGTTGATATCTATTGAGTAGTCTTGCTGATATCCACATAGATCACTTTCCGATATTCACGCAATGGCCTTGCTGATATCCACTTAGTACGCTATTGATAACCACGTTATAACTGGCTTATGATGATAGCCAAGTCCAGTTGTTTGGTGATATCCGAGTATATTGTCAATCGTGGAATTACCTTGTTGTTCACCTATCCATGGTACTTCCAAACTTTACCGAACGCTCCGTTCTAGGCTTATTTACCTTCTACTCTGGTACCTCAGGCTTGTAGACACTTCTATGTCCAATACAGTATTCACCATTGATAGAGAACTCATAACCTTTACACGTTTTTATTATAATATCATCTACATAACGGCTTGTGTATCCTTCACCTAGTTACTCAACCATTACACACATTAGTAGCCTTTGATTATTTTGTCATCTTCAAAACATCATAAAGGATTTTCCTAATACAACTTTAATATAACTTTATTCCATTTCTGAAATTAAATGGGCTTATTGGTGTTAAGAGAGTGGCCTATGCACATCTGATTAATGGTGTTTAAACTTCAAGGAAGGTATGATGTTCTAACCGAGCCAAATGTTGCTTAGTTATGAACGACGAATCGTCCCTTGGGGATTTATATCTGATAATTTCATGAAGCCCCTAGAAAATTTTGAATTTCAAAATCACTGGCGGTCCACTTAATTAAGCTACTGAAGTTCAGGAATTGAATGTCATTATTCAAAGTCCTACTGACGATGTGCAAAAGAATCACGGCCACCTGCACAGGAAATGCCTTGATTAAACCAGTTCACGGGGTTCCCGTGAACTGGTTTAATCAAGGCATTTCTATTTGCTCGTGGAATCTCAAAAAATAGATAACAAGAATTTGGAAGACGAAAAATCTTTTTGCGCTGAAGGGCGCCCAGAGAGCTGTTCTTAAGAGTGCTTCAAAAGGACTGGGCATTTGTCCCCTCTAGTCCAATCTCAGCTGGCAAAAGCATTGCTCCTGGGCTTAGTTAAATATCGTGGACAGATATAACACACAGGAGAGGCTTTGCAGGAGGAAATTATCGGCGCATTCTGTGACCATGCATTCACAAGTAAGTTTAATGACAGGAGAGTGATCCTCGGGAATCAGGTAAGATACTCTGCGGTAGTTTCGAGTTGGTGATGTTGGCGATGAACATTTGACTAAAGCGCGGAACTAAGGCATGCCGTCAAGTGGAAGCTTGAAGGAAAATCTGTCATTGGTAAAGCTAATTTGCAGTGCTTACGTTTCAAGATTTGCAACAACTAGAAACATCACAGTTCAACAAGGGAGTCTGGAGATTTGTAAAAGTATTGGGTGTGATATGCAAAAGGGTAGCTTCTCATCTCCAAGAAAATTAAGTTTTATCGATTGATTAGAGTTGAGCACAAGAAGATCAGACGAACCAAAAAGACTAGCCAAAGCAGGGGAAAGTGGGACAGATAAATCAGGACAAATTGATCACAGAACTATTCAGTGAAGTTCCCACTTCAAATATTATCGCAATTTAACGAGGGTGGACAAAGTTCAAATGGTGTAATGCAGACATTGAAGCATCGTGTGTCATCCATAAGCTGCGTTCGAAAGATAATGGATACAAAATCACTCTCGAAAAAATGAAGGATGCGGAAGACACATGGAAGAAGGGAAATGTCTAGAGAGTAGACTTTAGGTAGTGCCGGGTTCTTCACTCCACGCCTGTGTCTAATATTTACTACATGCCTTCCCTTTCCATTAATGAACTTGAAGGCGGCTTCATTAGCTTGCTTTCTTCCACTAGCTCGGCAAGCTGCATTTCCAAATTAGACGTGTCATTTGAATATCTACCTGGACTCTGCAAGTTTCCAACACTAAGCAAGCCTCCATAGCTGTTTTGGTTCGGAGAACACGAGCTGGATTCCTTCTGAGCAGCTACATCTTCACAAGGTAAATGAGAAACCATGGCTTGTCTGCAATCTCGCGTTTGTTTCCTGCAGAATTTGTCTTCAATGATATCGTAGAAATCTGCGGTCCTCACTTCCTGAGCAAGAGAGCACCAGCAACAGAAAAGCCATCTCACACAATCCGCAATTGCCGGTTTCCCACAGCAAAAGTGATCTGCCGGCAAATTAAACCTCTTCCTCATCTGAATCCTCCAGAAACCGCCATAGAGCAGACCAAAAACACAGAGTACAATGCCAGTAAACCCCAAAGCCTCCCTCACTATCTCGTCATCAATATTAATGGCGGCAAGGCCAAAGATCCAGAAAGGAGCGATGCAGAAAAGGAGGAAAGTGGCAATATGGACATACATGTTCCCAAACCCAAGCCTTTCCATATTCCAACCGAAGATGCAAAAGCTGCAAAAGAGAGAGAGATACGCAACTGCTGAATTGTCACACAGATTGAATAACCCCCCTCTCCATTCAGGCGCATGTTCAATGATCCCATGCTCGTTCTTGGATGCAAATGACAATCTCTTCTCTATTGACTTCCTTCTAAGGTCGCCCGGCTGAGCAGAACTGGAAGAATCTCCATCTTGTGCTTCCTCATCAACTTCTGATATGTACTCTTTTCCTAAAGGGCTAAGGATGGAATACAACCCGGCAATTGCAGGAGAAGCAATTGCGACAGAGAGGCACACGCCCACGCCAATTGCAGGACGCTCTGATCTTTTGTAACCCAAGTTGAGGCCACATAAGGCATACTGAGCAAAACAGTTCACATGAAGCAACACAACTACCACCATCATATGGATCCGCTCTCGGGGTTTAACGGTACCACTCTTACAATAGATTTTCCTAAGTGTACATACATCCTTTAGTCTCCACCTACACAAGAGAACCAGGTGGTGGAACCGCTTAGGATGCTGGTACAGGCACATGAGTGTAAACAAAGCATTGAGGATTTGATTGTTAACCTCGAACCATGCATTTCTCTGCGATTTTTTCGGCAACAAGCTGTTTAACATCCCTGTCATGACTAGAAAAAGAATAGCTCCCGATATAGCAACACAACTTATCCATAAAAGGAGGACAGCGTTGAATGGGTCATTTGCATATTCTTTGCACATTTTCACAAGAGACCTCCAATCCAACTTATTAGAAATGACCAAACCGAGACGCTGCCGGAGACCTTGCCTGGTCGAAGAAGGGGCAGCACACGATTCTTCGTCTCTTTCGTCGGCTACTTTCCTGAATTTTGTCGATGGGGAAGCTAAATTGGTCGCTGAACCAAACTTGAGAAGGCCGAATGTGCTGGGAGTGGGAAAAGTAAAGACGCCTCCTCTTTTAGGAATTTTATCACTCAGTAGTCCTTTTCTGGAAGTTGAAATGTGCAAGGTCCTTTGTCCATTGACCTGATAATCTTTCGGTGTCACATTTGAATGGAGGCCTTCCTGAACTCTGGCCACACCACCTTCACTTCTTGAAGCCATTTCACCCTAAAACTTGAAAACTCTCCTACTGAAAATTTGGCCGCGCAATTTATATGCCAAGTTTCTTCTGCACTCTAGGATCGAAAGAGCATATGCAAAATACACTGATGAGCGATGGCCAAAATCCACATTACAACGACATTATCATGAAAGGTGAACTTTGGATGCAAATTTGTCGATGATACTCATAAGTCATCCCAAGCGCACCCTAACTTTGGTATGCTGATGGCCCTAATCCAGTCCAATTAAGATTCAAGAATGAAAAGAAAGATTGAGCAGTATGTTCAAGAAAATCTGCTTGCTGCAAATGAACAAATTCGGTAGATACATATTTACAGGACAAGATCACTCCTCCTTTAACAATTCAACCAAAGTAGCTTAGATGAGAGAAAGCATAAATGACCAATGAAGTATTATCCATTTGATCAACAACCATCATCTCGCTCATCCACACCAATCAGGGACAGCACTTCCTCAAATAGATTTACGGTGTTATATAGACGAAATATACTCTACGAAAGTAACCACCTTAAAGGCTGCTAAATGTTTTAGCTTACGAAATCTTGTTAGCATATTTTATGAGAAAAATTCAGGATAAACTTTTTATCTCGCTCCCTCAGCCTTAATTCCTACTTCAGAGACTAACTCCGAACCAGGAAAAAAGAAGAAGGAAACTACAAACAGGGAGTTCATGAAAAACAACCCGTGAAACAAGAAACAGAACGAATGCCTCGAGGGTTGCCTTAAAAACACCATGACTGTAGCACAAGAACTTAAGTTCGCATGCCCCCGACCCCTAACTTCAACATCATGAAATAAAGCGTCAAATGCACTGCCTTCTCTAAAGTATGGACAAATTTGAGCTCATTCCACAGCAAGAAAGCGTCGTACTTGTAATGACTTAACCACTCAACACAAAAATGCTGAAACTTCATTTTCTTTTAAAAAGGAACAATCTCAACAGAAACAGAAGCAGCCCCCCATGCACATTCAGCGAACAACAGAGCAACGAAATAGAAGAGCAAGAAAAGGAAAACCCAGCAAGCTTACAGTATCAGCTGAACGAACTTACGGGTGGAGGTGCCGAAACGCGACTCTCGGGGTCGGCTCAAGAAGAACTGAGAGGCAGCTCGTCCATTCAAGAACTTCAAACGCCGAAAGCGCCACGCGGCATGAAGGACACTAACTGCTGAAACAGAGTGAAGCGAGCGTCTGTCTTTCAAAATTCAAAGGACGTTTCTGTAATGCACAGATTTTCAACAGAGAAACGGCACTCCCACCTCTTTTGAATTTGCCTCCTCTTCCTCCAATGACCTGTGTGGCCCAAAACCAAGAAAGTGGAGCCGAGATGGGCTCAACGCCATTCTAGCCGTCGCATCATTTGGGACCCGCATGATTCAATGGATCGTACGGTATGCGTTCAAATACATATAATTGGGGGGGATTGCGGACTAGCTAATGCGATATTTCATGAGTATGAAATTCACCCGTTTAAAGTGTGCTTGAGCTTTTGACCCAAATAAAAAAAGTATGTCTGACCTTTCTTCTCATAAAATAAATTACAAATCGAATGATAGCTTGACATTTAGATTTTCACCAATGCCGTTTTTCTCGTACTTTCCGAAAAAGAGGAACTTGTTTTCAATTATAAAATATGTCATTAAGCTTTTCATCCTTGCTTTTAGATTGTCTAGACTTTTAGAGTTTTTCAAGCAAAAGAATTTCCTATTTCCCGCATTAGTTGATTTAGGTAGCATTTCATGACACATAGAAAGACAAAGAATGTCTTGTTTTCCATATAGATTAAGTCAAGCATCTAGGTTTAGAGATTTTGATTGGAATTTCTTTTCATTCGTTATTTACGCATATTCTTGCTCACGGGATCCTCTTTCGAGGCGTAATAACAAGGCGATGTGTTGCTCGAGATGGCCCGAATTGATTTATTGTTATTTTTCGTTTCATATTTTATGCTGGTATAGATTTCGAAAAACATTTTCCGAAAAATAATCGCTTTTTATCCCCTACAAAAATAAATGAACGAAAAATATTTTCATTGTCCACGAAAATGTTTGAACATAAATTGTTGTCGATAATAAAAATATTTTTTATTAGTTAATTATTTTTAGCTATCCAAGTAATCATTTTTTAGAAAATATTTTAAAAAATATTCATTTTTTACAAAACAAACGGAGCCTTAGTTGCGATCAGTAGAGCTTGTGAGGGTTCATGGGCGGTAACTCTACTTCGCAAGAGGATTATGGACGCCTGCTTAACAATCCATATAACCCTCTCCAGGCCCCCTCAAAGAGGGTTGCGACGAGATAAAAATAAAAGTCAACTATTACCACTCACTGTTCTATTATGTAGTCGCATTTTTCTATTTGTATTTAACGAGAAAATTAACCCGATACAACACCGTTCTCATAGGTTTGTTAGCGTAGTCACCTTATGTCTCTTCTTTTATGATTAGAAAACCTACCTTGTATAGATAAGCTTGGATGGCCCATGGAAATACACTCTTCCTCATTTATAGACAACAACTAATTAATTTGACAAAATCATCAATACATACTCCCTAATAATATCAGAGGTTTTGGTAATAGTCAACAGGTAAAGGAGTCCCTGAACCTTCTTAAATCTGTCCATACCCCCTGCTTGACGTTCACTTAAAGCGGGATTAGCATGGCATCTCTCTCTTCAGATCAAAGTTCTTTAATGACCTACAAAGTGTGATGCTATATCTTCTGTTATTTGTCATAATCCTCACTGTAAATCTCACCACGACCGCGTTTTTCAAAACGATCTGCCTAATCATGTGGCCGACAAACCCAAGACACAGAGAAATGGAAATTCATTGGCTGCGGCTACTTTTATATTTCCTTCTGCATAGCCAATCATTGAAATGGACTAATTACGGGTTAATCCTAATGACTCACCGGATGTTTCTGAGATGAGCTAGTTGTTGCAGAAGCAGCTGGGACCATTTATGTGCGGTGGTCGCGATGGGGAAGAGGGGCACATGAAAAACCAACTCATCAGCCCGAGGAGAGATGATTTGAGCTCGAAAGTTACTGCGTGTATGAGCTGGCGGCATCACAAACTCCGCTCAGCGATGCGAGCATGTTGCCGGTCCATGTAACTAATGTGTTCAACACGGTGTCGGTCAATGGACGGCGGTTCCTCCATGGCTTGTTGTATGAGTTAGTAATGCACGTGCCCTGCTTCTCCATCATGCTCGTCGCACACCTCTTGCCGCGCCACATATTGCTTCGAGATCGAGATAGAGAGAGAGTTAAGTCATGCAGCAAAGTTTGCTAGGGTTTTATAAGAGAAAGAAAGAGTTGATGGAGTGATTAGGACAAACAGATAGGTTAATGGAAGCTTAGTTGGCGTGTGGTTTAGCTGGGGACCGCCCAAAAGATGTGTCCCCCAGAAAGACAGCTCGTCACAAACTTGCCGAGGACCATTCGCACTTCGTTCATTTGTACATCGGACCTAAGCTACGAACAAAATCCCGTCTGTGTTCCCAATGCAAGAAGACGTCTAGTACACGTGTATTCAAATTCGATGGCTGTCCAAACTTAGGTTAGGAACACAACACATCAACTCCATCAACCTCATCGCAATATAGCATTTGTGAAGCCCATGTTTCTATAAACTGACATAAGGAGACGACGGGTTTGTAATTGTTTCCCACAAGAAAATACTCGACTCGTATGTATCCAAAATGCGTGATCGGTTTTTTCTATCCCATCAAACATTGAATTTACACGATTATTTTTCCTCCTTACACGGAAAACTCTCTTCTCCGACACCTCCGGCCCTCACCTTTTCTACCGTTACCGCCAATAGATGTCTTCACTACCCTCCTCGAGGACTACCAACTATACAAAACAATTTTACGAGGTCAAGATAAGCACATATTAATAGATTAGCGGGACTCGTACCAATCCCACTATAAAAGATATATTTTTCTATATTCCAACATCGTATCTTTTCATTTATTACTTGAAACATAATTTATAAACTGAGTTTGTATAATTTTCTTTTTTTCCCCACCTCGTCAATCCACCTTTATGGTCACCTCTCATTCCTGAAGTTTCCATCACCCACCATTCACCCTGACCACTTGCACAACAACAATGCCACCCCTTGCTAATTCACCGGTAAATAATTGCCAAGACAGGACAAGAAAGTTCCATCAAATGCTCAAATCACTTATCCGAATTACATTCCACACCCTAGAATATAAGAACAACCCGAAATACAATGATCACAGTACCCAACGTGAAGGAAAATTCAACCGTGTAGGATCCACTTAGACGACCGAGCTGAAGGTAAATAATGTCTTGCGACATTGATACGAGACGTGGCCAGCTTCCATGGAGATGCTATTTTGAAAAATTCTGTCGTTTTGCCCGTCGATTTCAAGACTTTATCTCGGAGTCTTAGATGCTGTTCTCACGTTTAGCATGACAGAAAGTATAGACAACCGGGCGAATCTACCTTCTTCCTTCCGTCGAGGATTTGGATTATGAGAAAAGAGGAGTGTTTTAGACGTAAATGTAAATGAGATGTGGTTAGGTTGACCGGAGAAATCAATTTTCTTTGAATCTCTCTCCTTTTGTTTTGCGTTGCCACATCCTATTCAATATGAAGCATCGTATTCTTAGGGCACATTATAACGACACGAGCGAACCCGACATATCGTGATTGACTCTACTTATTAACTTGGCCATAAAATTAGTCTAGCCATGGCTACCAAAAATGATATTCTCTATTGGCTAATTTTTTGACCTTCCGCTCAAATCGGGCACCCATCACGTTTAATTCCCATATGATCAGATAGACTTTGCTCAAAGGGGTCATTTCAATATCTTTGGTGAAGAGCAAAGAAGTGAAGATTGCCAAGCATGCGCGCGTGCGCGCACACACATTCATTTCTTCTATAAGCATACATTTCACAACTGAAACTATATTTACTTTTGAAAGATAATAAACCTTCCCGTTCATCAAAATGTATGTTAGTTTTCGTTCTCTTCCATCCGAAATTCTCATGTTCACACGTGTAAAAGCCACTCTTAACATAATTTTATGCAAATGGATCTAAGGTGCAATGTAGTTAACCATCTTCCATTCTCTCTCTAGGGCTTGGGTTGGACCCAATCAACTTGTCTCTTGTGTCTAACCATTAAGTTTGAATATGCCTGAATTACCTGGAATTCCACCGATCCCCCTGACAACGATGTAACTGGGGAAAGTATTATTATCAAATCACACTAAACAATCGAGAGTAGCCCGGCAATCAGAAAAGCAAGATACACTGGAGATCGCCTTTTTAATTACACAACGCAGCATTACCTCAGACACGTCAATTCAGATGCTTTATGACGCAAATCACCTTCTAGAGGAAAACAAAGGGATGAACAGAGGAGCTCAAGAACATGGCCATCGGGTGGTTGATGAGTTGATGTTGGATGATTGTGGAAGCGCAAGAGAGAGAGAGAGAGGACAAGGCAATGGAGAAGTAGGTGAAGTTGCCATTAGGCACGCCAATCCAATGAGCGAATCACATTTCCTAGAAATGGCGAAGACAAATCTTAATGCAGATTTTTTAAGCTAGAAATCTCGATTTAGTGATTAGATTATGGGAATCGGGACACATCAGAATGTTACTCCCGTAACATCATGGTCCCAGAAGATTATTTGGATGGAAGCTATCTTTGTCTGATATGTTGTACGAATTCGAGACTTCATTGAGTGATCCTTCCATTATGAGTAAATGATTGGGATCTCTCTCTCTATCAACTTATCTGTAATTGTCAATCATGGGTCCATTGAATTTGGCAAGTAGGTCGATTGGATTTCACTTGCAATATTTCTACCATAAAAGCTCCAAAATGAGCAGGTAAATTGACGTGGTATATTTGATTAGTCATAAATTAGATTAGGAAAATCGATTTCACCCATGTTTGAAATTGTCGATTCTAATACATAGACGTGATTGAGACTTGTGGTTGACCCGTTCTTTGAAAATGTTCTGAGTGGGATTGCTTTCAAGCACAACAAAAGTGATTCTTTCCTTGTCTGAGCACGACTCTACTATTTCCATTTAATGAAAATGGATCATTTTTCCCACCACGATAAATTTCTGAAAATTCACCACGAGGATATTTTTTTTCTTTTTATGCGTGGGACACTAGAATTCTACTAACATATGATCATTACACAAAGTACAAAAATGCTATTGGTTTGTATTAACGCTACATGTATAAAAGACTTCTACTGAAGTTTCTAGCTAATGATTATGATAGACTATGTGACGTGCCATTTAATCATGTATATTTCTAAGTTGATGAACTTATGTAATGTATCCCGAATCAATCGGGCTCGAGGCCAATTAAATTTGCCATTTTTAGTTCGATTAAAAGTCGTTGTATACGTAACATGCTATCACCATAATGAAGAAATCCTATAGAGCTGTCTAATCGATCTCCAATGCTTTTCGGGATGAGACAAGCAACACCATTTAAGTGATTGACAGGACGATTTGATACATTTTTTTTGTCTAATCAGCGGGAAAAAAAAACAGGAAAGATTATGAGTGATCTCCTTTAACTCTTGTCTTAACTCTTGGGGTTGATTAGAGGACATTAATTATATCACGATTATGCAATGGATGACATCAAACTGCATTTAATTCCTGTGCCCTACTGCAGCTTGATAGCATTTTTTACCTTTTTTTTTCCTTAAATCTCCTTAAGCTCCAATATCGACCATGTTGTCCCATTTCTAGATTATAATAGACGTCCACAAGTAATTTCCAAGAATATTTATCTGTGTTATTTATCGATTGATTTCGGTTATTTGCAAGTACAGCCACACTAATCATACTAGACCTCTGGTCATGAAAATTATTTGGTGCCCCAAATCTCGCGACCATGATCCATTTGTCTAGACTCGACATGGGTCGAGATTAGATATTCGAACATTGTATAATCGGAAATACTTAGGTGAATTTCACGGATCAAATGATGATTAGGCACTTTGCCCCATCGAATTCACCTAGACATTGCTCCCGCCTACATTTAACAATCTCATGTGTTGAGCAATTCATAAGAGGTGTTCTGTCAAATGTTTCACATTCCATTCGTGATGGCAATGCCTTGGAAATTTCTTACCTTGGACTTTTGTCTATGGACCACATGAAATCACGGCCATCGATGGTCCACATGTTAGACAGGTCCAAAGCTAGAAAGTGATTAAAACAAGATCAATGAGGGTTTGATTGGTCAAGATAGTGCCTCCACTAGTCAACATCTAATTGCTCTATGCATGAGATTCTTGTTGAATATTTCATCGCGGTCCCAAATCTCTCCATTAGAAGCTCAATCAATAACGATGACCCCTTTAAAAGATTAAGTTGATTAATCAAAATTTAGGTGGAAGACCGATCAACTAAACCCACTTAGAGGAATAAAGGGTTGATTTTCAGAAAGTAGGAAACTAGAAATTCCATGCTCTGTCGCTTGTTTATCTAGAATGGGAAGCTTAAAGCATACCGCGACAGCATCATTTGAGCAACAATAGAAAATTGAAATGCTGGGATCTCGAAATCAATTGGAGACGATCATGGTTTTTGTGAAGTTTGATTCGCATTAAATTAATTGGTAAACCCGTGCATTGCGAGGGCTTTTTTTTACCATTGTATTGGTTTTCAATATATTAATTGGTAAACACATTTGCGGTTGACTGTTTCAACGATCCATATATAGAATTTTCATCTATCAAATTAAGTTACGCAATCATGCAAGAGAAATGGAGCACGTAACAATGTTATGAAGTCCAAATCATGATTGATATTGCTACATGTTGACACCAAAAAATGCCCAAATAATTAACCGACAGCTCAATCAGCAAGAGTCAGTTAAGATGGGGTCAGAGGTAGGGGAGTGCAAGAGAACCGCCAAGAACCAGACCGAACCAATCCAAAACCGGCAGTTCCCGGTTCCATTTTACTAGAACCGGCAGTTCCCGGTTCGGTTCCTGATTCCAAGCGTGGAACCGCCCACCCAAACTGAATCGGTACACACATATATGTATTTCAAATTTCTATGTTTTCATATGTAAACCCTAGATTCCTATCTATCTCTCTCCGTCTCGCGCCTCACTTGTCGTAGTTAGCTCGTAGGCCACTCAAAAACCCATCGAAGATGTCTTCTTTGTCAACTTTCCTCCTCCATTCTAAATCCCTTGTGATTCCTCCCTCTCGCTTCTTCCTCCCCTCGTTGATTCACCAAAAACC